TGGAACAAATCAATCACTGCGTATTATTGTCACAATTATAAAAGCATGTTGTAAAATATTCAATAATACTAAAAACCTGAAACGCTAAGTGGTTCCTTCACATATTATTTGCATTCCAAATCAAAATGCCAATATAAGTGCTTATTACTATCACATTCCCAAAATAAAACACAACAGACTGTTCTGGAACAGATACAACTTTGCCAATGTATAAAATGTTCTATAGGTCCAGACATGGTCAGGATATGTTGCCAAAAGTGCAGGGGATTCCACATCTTTTATTACAGAAGCTCAAAGGTTCCTTTGTGTTTACAGAGCCCATTTCACTGACATCTGCTATAGTGTTTTAATGCTGTCTCTAACAGTTTGTGTCCACAGTGCAGGTCAGGCCATAAAACACACCGGAGGCCGACACACAAGGCTTGAGCAGGGATGATAAAGGTAACAAGCTTTCCTGAGCAAACAAAAATATTTTACATAGTTTTTCAAATGCCATATGTGGATAGTGCATTTTCAAATACTTTAAAGCTGAATTCCGGGCTAGAAAAAGAAATACCCTTGCAGTGTCTACCACCCACCACTGGCTTAGATGCAAATTTTTGCCTAGAGGTAGAGAATTAAGATGTAATACTCACCTTATTTCACATTCCATCAGGCTCCCTCTGTTTGTGCGAATGGTTACCCAAAGCCTAAGATTAGCTCTGAATTTGAAACAGATAAAGTAGCAGTGCCTAGGGATACACTTTAAGCAAATTTGGTAAATAAGTGACAGAATTGCTTTAGGATGTTAAGAGCTATATGTAAATGTATTAGTAAATTTTATATTTCTAATATTATATATATGTATATACATATATACATATATACATATCTATATTCATATCCACATAGGAAGGACGGAATGCATACAAAGCTGCAATTTTTCCTAGAACTAGAAGTTCAAATCCTGTGATTCTGTTGCCTGTTTAATGTATTAATTTTTACTGCCTCTTGAAAAAAAAATGACAATAAAAGTCTCATACCTGACTAAAATGATGAAGAAGGTCTCAAATGGCCACATAAATGGTAAAGCTATGAAATACATGAGAATTTTCTGCGGGTATAATCAGCAATTATCCACCATATAAATATCACTGACAAATATTAATTTCCTTCCTCACATTTACACTTCTTTAAATTTAATGCATTCAAAAAGTAGAAAGCTTTATGCCTCGTTCACTGAACACTTTCTGCAAGTGCACTCTAAGAATTTTAAAAGGTATCTGTATATGTTGTAAACCAATGTGTGTTTTCACTACTCTTACTTAAAGAAATGTAGTTTATAATAACAATTTCAGTGCCGTATTCCGAAATTCAGTGCACATTTTGTAAAGTGATTGTTGATGTATTTGTGTTTGATCACCAAATCACCCTGACAAAAACTGATTTAGGTTCTTGAACAAGGGAATAACATATTTTCAGTCTTATACAAATATACATCAAGCCCAGGTCATAGGGTATGATCTTAATTTGACTTGTGGAGTTACTGTGGCAACCGAGGGAGCAGAAAAGGGAACAGTATCCTTTCTGAAATTCAATATTTGGTATAGAACCATAATACTATATCATTGTTCCTTGTGACTTGAGAAAGATCACATTACATGAAAAAACTGGCTCATTAATTTTACACGCTGTTTAATTCATTTAACAGTAAATAATATTTGCCTGGAACAGTAATATACTGTGCAGACCAAATCTCAGAGGAATCCTCACTATGTATCTGACACATGTTAATAGGAAGTTTTTCAGTATTCACCTGGTGTTTATCTACAACCAGGATATTACAGTCCCAAATCAGTTTTGTCAAAACAAATTTAAGCTCTTAACACATCTTCTAGGATTCTGTGGACCTGCATGTCTGTTCACTGTTGAGCCTGTCCAGGAAATATACCAGATGTTCTTAGCGTTACTTGTTCCTGTGTCCAACAAAGTCTCCAACAAAAACTTGTCTGCTCCAGCCATTCATAGGAACTGCCCCATTTACTTCTTTAAGATGCCAGCTTCTCAGCTATACATCAGTACTCTCTTTAGTTTATTTTTTTTTCTTCCTAACAAAACTGGTAACAGTATTCTAATTAAATAATAATTGATATTTAAAATAAAAGCAAAAAGCAACCAAATACTTTTACACTTATTTTAAAATACTGTGCAGAGGTCACTCATCCTTCTACATCTCTATGGCTCCGGAGGTTATAAGACATTAGACAGATGAAAGAACTGATGGTCTTTCTCAAAGACAGAGAAGTTTAAAAATATCTGGTCCCTATGGATCCAGTCCATAAACTCCACTCAGTATCCTAAACCCAGGACATTGTGCCCAGACAATTATGTCTAAAGCTTTGACTTCTTGATCAATATATGAAGAAACTAACCTCCTTGGCATGTTAATGGAGACCCTCTAGATTTGGTTCTCCTTCTGATGTGTGGGTCCTTATATAAACCCCTCAGTTAACTTACTCTACCTTTAGTACCCACTGTCTTTCACCCTTTGCTGGCCCCTCTTTTACTTTCTCTACCTTCCACCCCAATCATGTCACATTCCTTCCCACATTCCCTCTGTATTTGCCCCTTGAACTTTCCACATGATCCGAGAGGGAAACACAGGGTATTTTAGATGTATAGAGAAATTGAAGTACCATTCACCACTCTCACCTCCAATATTAAACAAAAATGTGGTTGATAATTGCAATCCTGACTAGAACTTCTGCCTAATACCTTAAAGTAGAACAATGGCTTTACATTAAAATATGTCCTTCATCACTTAATTATAAATAAATGTGCACTTACAGTTTTCTTTTAGCCCCCGTGCAAAGTCCCACAAATACCTGTTGAGCCTGCTAGTGAAGTCCACCAAAGTAGCTTTGATGGCTTCCGCTCTGCTCTGAAAACACAGGGGGTCCCTTGCTCATCACAGCAGCCATTTAGAGAACAACTAGTATTTTTATCAATTAATGCAAGGCATTTAGATTGGAGGAGGGGCAACTTGTAACATCACCACTCCTCATGCAATCAGAGAACACCTTGACCTTGTCCTTTCTGTAACATTCAGTGGGACCACTAAGCATTTCTCTAACATTGTATGAACTATTTTGGCTGTTAGATTAAAGAGGATAATAGTAACACAACTGAGCATCACCTGAACTGAGCAACACCTAAAAACATACACATAATTATATATGTACTTTAAACATTATTAGTGTTTTACCTACTGTTTACTGCTCAAAAACAAATACTATAAGTGATACTCATCAAAACTAACGAACTTGATCTTCTCAGACCATGGCCTTTGAGAGCTTTAAACTGCAAGTTAAATCATGGTAAAACTGATTTTCTATGCTTAACAGAATTAGCTATTTGAAGCAAAAATACAAAAGAAAGTTTACTTCATTACCTCCTATGTGTGTAATCAAATTAAATTGTGGTCTTGTTTGGTTGTAAATGTACCTTCTGATTAGCGTCTTAGACAGTCAAGAAAACAAAGCAGCACAAATTATATTATGTGACATTTTGTTGAAAAATAGGTTTAAAAGAATCAGTGAATTATTCTTTAGCATGCTGGATATGTGCTTAAAACTGTCTTAGCAAGAAATATTAAATTTACATTTGGTAATGTTTCCTCAGATCTCAGGCTTATGAACTAATTCAGCAAACAAATATTATTTACAGTAAAAAAATGTTCTTAAAGTACATAAATGGGTATAGGATAGTAATTCCTAAACTTTTGGGTTATACTGACACCTGCCAGAGGCTGTAGAAATCATACTATAAAAGGTATCTGAAGGAATCAACACCTCACAAAGGCTAGATGAAGAAGGGTCAAAGCAAATATAGAAATTGATACAGACAAGGAAAATGACAAAGAAGAGCACAGATAATTAACTGTTTCAGACAAGGACAGGTAATTCCCACAAAAGAAAAATGCTACCTGAAAGAAGGATGGACCCCCAACTAACAATGTTGCAGGCAACCAATCATTCACCATAAAAAAACAGGTGGAACAATAAACTTCCTTAACAGGATAAAAGGACTTAGTCCAACAGCTAAGGTGGTCAACAAAAAAAAAAGTTTACTATTGTAAAGACTAAAAACTAGGATACATAACCATTGACTTCACGAAAAAAGAAGTCAAGCAAAGAACAAGGAATGTCCAGACCAAAAAAACACTGGTTAACAGACAGAGTCGTAAGTAGAACATAACCCTTGATAGCAGGGAGAAGGAGAGCCATAACATGAAGGATGTTAGCTGATTGATAATGTATCTTTCAAGAGATATGCATGCATGTGAACAGGCCTTTCAGAAGCAATCTGAGAGGGAAAGAAACACCTATAGAAAGAAAGAAACAAATATAGGCAGCATTCTAAATTATGTTAACTGAAGGATGGGAGATGATATAATGTAATGTAAATTGGCATACAATAACAACCATAAGAAGGAATTATTTCAACTCACACTCAAAGGTGTTTTAGGAGTGTGGTAGCTACACCACAACCTACTTGATTTTTCTCAGTTTTTCTCAGCGGAGTTAAGGAACAGACATCCAGCCTCCTAGGACAATAGCAAAAAACTTTGACATGACGGTTAAAGGTGGGTTATATGGGGTCTGGTTTAATGTTTTTTGTTTGACAATTTCCAAACCTGCTCAAGGTGGCTGTTTAACCCACATGTCTATCAATTATTACAATCCTGTTTTCCTCAATGGACAATAAGGAAAGAAATAATTTGATATTTATAAATAACAAAAACAATGTGAGTATTCACTTCAATTATTGAATCATGTGAAAAGCAAATACCTGTTCACTTTGAAAACCCAATAATGTGCATATGTATTTCACATGATTGGATAATTGAACTGAATACTCATATTTTTTTCAGTGAAGGATCTCCAATTGTTATTCAAATCAGCCCGTAGTATACAATGATTACATATTATGTTCATCTGTTTCCTGTATGTAAGTCTTACCTGCTTTTGTGGTGACTTTTAGAAGGTAACCATCTAAGTCTATATGAAATTGAGGTGTCTCATAAGGCAGTGATATTCTTGTTCCATTCCATTTAACTGTAAGATGCTGTTGAAGACTAATAATGCTTCCTCCCATTACTAGGTCCACGGTTTTTGTCCATGAGAACGAGTGTGTGCGACGAGCATCATTTTTTACAATAACTTCAAAAGGCAAGGTAGAAGATGAGCAATATTTGGTTAAAATATATTGACAGGTTCCTTGAAAATTGAATGTCCGTCCATCGAACGTGTTGTAATGGGGGTCTCCAAATACAGTACAAACACCAGGTTCTGTATACAGATACAAATTATAGTTAATGTGCAAAGTGTTTTGTTATCACATAATATAATACCAGCAATTTGCAAACTATAAGACCTTTCTGGCACAAAAGTAGATTCAAAGTTATTTTACTCTGTTGTGATCTAAATATACTCCAAATATGCACATAATCTTTACAAGAACTAGCCAACCAATTATTTCTTGGAATAGGTAGGCATCAATTGTATTAGGATACAAAACCATGTATGTTTGATGGACGTCTTGTATGGTTTGGACACTTTTAAAGCCCCGCTTTTCTTTTCTTGTATACATGTATTAGGATCTAGTATAGCACTGAGTACAAATTTTACATATCTAAAGGAAGAAAGGAAAAATAGCCTAAATGCCAAACTGATCATTTATACAGGCCAATAACACAGTTCTAAGTTGAGGTTTAACATAAGACATTTGGTAAAAAATTGTGTTGATCTCAACTGAAAAAAGTGCACTGTATATATATATATATACAGTATAGACATTATATAAAAACATTTTTGTTTAATTAAATGTGATATTTGTTTTAATGATTATCATTTTTAATGGGATGTAGGACTTTTATTGAAATTGTAGTTTCTAAAGTTTTCATAGTTTGTTCTATTGGCTGAATTGCCTGTTGCATTAACATGGCATTTAAAAGCCGCATTTTAGAGTGGTGAATCTGATGACTTGCTTGTGATTGGCATATTGTATTGCAAGATTGTCCAAAGATTTGAAATGATTGTATAAAAATTGTCAAACAAGAACATGACAAGGAGTGTTAAGGTCAGCTAAATATAAACACTGGAGGATTGTTACACTGTTATTATTAGGGAAGTATTCATGATGACCAAAGATTTCTGGCCAATGAATTCCTTATGGTAATTACTGTTCGGTTCCTCGCCTTTAGTATTGTACCCAATTAAGAGATGTGTACCCTTTACTGCACCCAAACTATGAACTATAAAGTATTTAGATATTCTTAACAATCAGTACATTTCCTTTACAAGAGGCCCTCACGGACCTCTGTGTTTGCAGACAATGTGGAGTAATGAATACTTAAATATCACTGCAGCGAATCTGTAGTCATGTTTTAGTCAGTTTCTAACAGTTTGCATCATTAGAAGGCGGAAAGACTGCCAAGTACCACTGCCAGAGAACATAAGTGGAGAAAAGCTGTGATTTCAGTGCCTCTGTTGTGAACATTGTAGATGGATTTCTTCACAGCGTCTGCTGTTACAAAGGCTGATGAAAATGAATTACTTGTTAAGAATATGTAAACACTTAACCTGGCCCCAATCCTCACTCTAACAATAAGAAACACTGTCACTGGGAGGAAGAGGGGAAATGACTGCAGTTATAAACTACAGACACCTAGAGGTGCATTTAAATACCTGCAGTAATCTCCCAGTCCTTCCTGTCACAAAAAAAGACAGGGAAAGCACCAACATTTCCTGGTAGTGTTGGAGCTTACCACTAAACTTCAACTTTACACATATTATTCATGTCCCATTGCTATAACTAGCACCTCACTGTACAATAGGCATGTGTAAAAGGTAGAAAGGGGCTGGAAAACATTGGTGCAACAAGGTATGTTGAGGCTTTGCCTGTCAGAATGGCCTGGGGTGGCCATACCAGGAAGGTTTGGGTACCTGCTTGGTTTATGCAAGGACCTCTAGAAATCTCATACCAAGATGGGACTACCAATCCCACTCTAAGATGTAACCACACCAAGACTGTGATGCTGAAAAATGCAATAAACAAGTACCAGAAAATGAAAGTCACTAGTGCAATGTAAGATTCACAATAGATAAAAAGTAAAAAATAACTTACTCACTTTCAGTGCAAATAGGACAGCAGCCTTTTCTATTCAGCATTTTGCCCTGTAACACACATAAACATAGCGTGTCATTCAGGGAACAGGTAACAAAACTTTTCTCTTTGGAGGGTAACCTTTTTGAAAAGGTAATGCCCCATGTACTATAACAATGGTGTTGGCTTCATAATTCATGTTTTAGTGAAAAAACAATGAGGCAAATAGATGTGTGTAAAGTGCAGAGACCCATAGAATCCAATCAGAATTCATCCTTTACTGGACTGCAACAATAATATAAAATCTGGCTGGTGCATTTGCATTTTACACTGTCCTTAAAAAAAGAAATTGAAATAAATAAATATATATATATATATATATAGGAAATTGTCACACCACATTAGTGCTAGATGTTTTCATTCTACTACATTGTGTTACCATTACCCGGTGTCTACACAACCCAATCTATTTATTTTGTCCAGGTTACTAAATAAAAACATCTATTTTTCAGGAAAGCTTCACCTTTTATCAATTAAAAAAGCCCTTGAGCTCCAGTTAGCGACTTGGCCTAGGCTGAGATGATGTAATCAGTTTGCTGCAGACAGGAAGAAGCATTGCCTCAATCTCCTCTACCACAGTGACCATACTGCAACACTGTAACTTTGTAGTAAGCTGAGAGGTTGCAGCAGGGGTTTACCTGTGCCAGACATTTGTAAATACAGTCAAGAACTGTTTGGGGACCATAATTTATATGACGGTGTCATCTCTGATCCAGTGGGGTTGATTTACTAACCTTTTAAACACACCACGAACGTGTATACACCTCTGTAGTGTGTTCCCTCCCAGCATGATCTATGGGAGGAATCGAAACACCTTTGTAGTGTGTACACACCCAGCAGGTGTGTTGTGCAAAGCCCTGCAATGAATTGCAAGGTAATGTGGTGTAAATTAGCTCTATGTTATGTTGCTTGCGTTGATGAATGCAGGAATGTAAATGCATGAGCTAACCATTTTTGTCTAAACTGTGAAGCAGCATTATATATGCATCATGTGCATGATTTTTCCATATATGGCATTAGTGGAAATATGCTTTTAGAGACTTTTTGGTTGATAAATACGTTTTGCTGTGTGAAAATCACACACACCTGGTGTGTGTGTGTGTGTTTAGGTTAGTAAATCACCCCCAGTATCTCAATCCAGAATGCAGATGGATGATGGCTGAACAAAAATGGCACCATCCTTCTGAAGAGAAACTATTTTCCTCCACTGTCAGACTGTCAGGTTGTATCTCTTGCTGTCTGTCTCCCACTGGGTAGATTTCCCTTTACGTCCTGTTCTGACACAGCAGGAATTACAGTCATTCTCTCCAATTGAGGGGAAATGTGCTATTAGATAGTTGCCACCAGACAGATGTTGTCATTGGAAGACTTCCGTTTAATTCCGAATCTGGTAAAAACTGTAATAGTTTGGAATAACCATCATTTAATGGTCACCAAGAAAAATGGAGAGTATAAATCTCCTCAGCAGGGAGATAGAGAGCAATGAAACCTATCATAGGTATTACATCTTTCCTACTCTATCCAAAACAAAAAATTATTTTGGCTTTTGATACACTTTGAGCAAAGATTATAATACACAGAAATGTCTGATAGAATTTGGAAAATGTTGTCCCAAAATACAGATAGTCACCCTGCTTGTGTAGAGTGACAACAGCTTCATTGTCCATACCAGGATTATTGATTATATTGTTCCCTTTATATTTAATCATGATTTGGCTGTCCAATGGGCTGAGCCATTGGGATTAATTTGCTAAATGCAAATAGGTTGTTCACTTAGCAAGGGAATTTTTAAATTTTGCAAAGGAACTATCCCCCAGCTTATTGATTGTAGTGAAAATTCACTTTGCAAAGAATGCCCAATCACGAGCAAGGAAAATTTAAAAAAAAACAGTATTTTTGCTTGCACATGATTGGATGATGGAAGTCAGCAGAGCTTTACCTCATTCACCAAGTTAAGGGAAAATTCCCTTGCAACGCAAACAGACTATTTGCCTTAAATAAATCAACCTCAACGTATCTGCTGTTGCCAGATTTAATATGGGGCACGTGGCCAATCCAAAGAAGAAGGTAGCCATTATTATATCACGTGTGTTCCAAATGTTAGTCAATAGACAGAATCCCCAAGGAGCATAGTAAGTGATATAATCCAATGTTTCCTTAGAAAAGTCTCTTGAATCCTTCTAATCAAACCATGTTTCAGTCTTTTCAGTTTTATGAGCCTTTCAGTTTTATGTCTGAAAATATTTCAGGCAAGACTAATTAGGCTTTTGTTTGGTTGTGCAACAGAAACAGCTGTTTTTGTGCCTCATTTGGCACCAATTTTAAAAAGGCAACTTTTGATTTGTAATAATGTACAGATGTGTATGAAATTAAATGCTTTCTACATCACAACTTTTTGGTTTGGCTGCATTCATAGTCATCCTGAGGACTTAGCTATAAAAACCTGATGGATCAACTTAATAGTCATTTAGAACCTGCTGTTAAAACCCTATGTTTATTTTTATTTTTTTTATTATAGGACAATGTATTTTAGAAGATGAATAATAGGTGATAGCATTTCATACATTTCTGTGAATGTTTCCAATCAGCCCACATTGTTTTATGAGTGTGAGTTCTAGTATAAATCTGAAGTGGTTGGAGAAAAAGGAAACTATGGAAATCTGCAATAATGGTCAAAAAAAATAATGAATTGTGTGTCTTCATTGAGCTCAGTGGAATCTAGTTAAATCAGTTACCTTTCTGCATTTACTATATTTTATTACTCTGACCTTTATATGGAACAGACATTTTTTTTCAAGCTAAAAAAAAGCTGCAATTATCAACTTTACAACTAGCAAAGTAGAAAACACGTGTTACTAAGAAGCAGTCTAAATCCTCTTGGGCTGAAGATACTAAATTAAAAGTCTGCATTGGTATATGAGCACAAAGGGTCCCCTTTATTCCTGCATGAAAATCTGTAAAGCAGGGCAAGTCGCAGCTAAAGCTGATGTTCCACATATACACAACCACCTTTATTAATGCCTTCGTGTGCTGTGTACGCACAGACTGCTCTGTTGCTGAACTAAAAAAAAAGGCTAATGTAGCAATTTGCAGTTATTGTTGCAAGTGATTTTCTTTGGTAACAGAGCAGGTCCTATTTGCATAATATATGTGGCTGCCAACATTAGTACATGCAGGTATGTTGAGTAAAGGTTTACTACATCATTAGGAAACCATATCTAAACTGTGTGTAATATTTATCATGTGCACATGCCCTTAATGATGTTCATTTTTCTGGGCTGATATAAAAATAGATAAGACAATGTGTATTTTGGAAACATAGCTAGTATCCTATTGTTTTCTGGAATTATATACTGTATATTTACTTCTGGAATATGTTCAGGCCAGTGGTGGTCAACTTTAAAAGGAAAAGTATTTCTCAACTGACATCACATGAGGTGTATATATATATATATTATTGCAAAAGACTGTCATTGATGGTGGGCACAATTAAAAAAATGGTCAAGCATTTTATAAATGATTAATAGAGATACATTTCAATTATTGCACACAAATGGTATTGACGATAATTTTAATAAGTAATTTAAGTTTATAGACCTATGAAATAAAACAGGAGTACAGGAATACTTACTTGGGGGCAGCTGTGGACTGGAATGCATTGTTTCTTGTGACACTCTGTCTTGCCTTTCACACAAGAACAGATGGTGCAGTTGACAGAGGACCACATCTCTCCATCCTGCAGAAAAGCCAAAAAAAGCAGCCATCAGCTGTAACTTTCAACAGCTTGTGATCCCAGTCATGTATCAAACTACAGAACAAAAATAATCATTTCATCCCCAATGGGTTTGTATCATTGCATAAAATAAATTATGAGTTATGAAAAAATATCTTTAAAAGTTTTGCATTAAGAAAAACAATAGCCTTAGCAATGTGTTCTTGAATGCTTCTAGCACAGAGCAATGTCTACCAGACCTGAGTCTGGTTTATAGCATACTAAATAGGCAAAGCAACAGGTTTGCTTTAACCCCCCCGTATATAGCAGTATATAGTTACTTTCCTTTGTTCCACCACTGTTAATTCAGCTTCCTGGTATGGAAGAACCTGAACCTTACCCCACGTGACAGTGCAGGGCCAATCAGCACTTTCACACAGGTCCATGGAGCTACTTTCGTGACTTGTTCCTCACACAGGGCATTCCTTTCATGCACAGAAGCTGAACAGATAGGTGGGGCAGGAAAGGAAGGTAAGTTAATGCATCTGTAAGGGTCTGTATTAATGTTAACCTGTTGCTGTGCCCTTCATGGACAAAGCAGAGATTAACTTTAGGTAAAGTACATAAAACATTCAAATGGTGGTTTGCCTGTACTAAACGATCAGGTTTTTATCTGCCATTCACTACACCATACTTTAAAAATTAAACAAGAAAGCTGAATCATTAGAATCCAGTTTTTTTACTTAATTCCTTTTTATGTCTACTTCTAAACTTTATAACCTGATTTTGACTTTACAGTGACACTATGACAATATGCCACATTACCAACAATGCCACACACATGTATTGCCACTAGACATGCATCCAACCAAGGAAAAGAAAATGTACATATTCGGGTTACATTTCCAAGTACAATAGAAGATATGGAACTGTAATTTGAAGGGACCTGCAAGCAGAGCAAATGTGAGAGCTGCCATTGCTGATTTGTTTTTAAAGGTACAGGCTTCAGAACCTTTGTTCTGATCTTAGTGTCACAATCTAATGAATACCTGAACTTGAAAAAGTATCCACAAGGGATGTTCATACTTTATTGGATTCATGTCTGCACTGCTGACACTGCTAGTAACATTTAGTGATGTCACTACTGTGCTGCTTACCATTCTCCTTGGTGGACAGAAAGCTAAACCGGAGGACCTGTAGTTTAAGGATCTCCCTCAGCTTCATTCATTTTGGTGATCTGTGCATTCTGAACCTCTCATTTCATAGTTTTGATAATTCTCTAAAGCTGTGGTCCTGCCTTTTCCAATGTGAGCAATTTCACTGTGGTTATTTGGGCATGGCCCTTTGTCACTTTCGCCTCTCCCTGTCAGGATGGCACTTTCTGTGTAACATTTATGTGTAGTCTTTTAAGTACCCATGCAAAAAACATTTTCAGAAAGAGAGGTCAGAACCTCAAGCCTCCATATTTCTCTCTTGACATTTTTTTAAAAGAATTATATTAATGGTTAACTGTGTTTACCCTGAATATTTTGTTTCCTGACTTGCAGACTTTTACTTCTTCAGCAGGCACATAGGAGACACACTCATCACAGCATTGCTCTTGCCCATTTTTGCATGTTCCAGCTGGAGAACACTTCCTTCTACAAACTACAGTTGAGTCCTAGAGAAACCACACCATTAACAGAAATCTTAACAATCAAGGAAAAATGAACAGAAGAAGGGAATTGTTTCCTTTAAGAAGATGCCTTCTAGAATATTACATGGATTATCATTCTTTCAGGATATATTTATTAAATTCATAAGTAGCCCATAAGTAGCCCAATCTAAACAAAGTGTCAAGAGAGAGATAATCCTCTTTTTTTGTGACCTGTTCTTACAAGGAAATAAGACTTTACAGCCACTTGCAAAGTGAAATTTGACCACATGTTGAAGTTTTTTCAGGTTCAACTGTGTACAATTTTAGCTCAACTGTATGTCTTTCTACTGGAGGAATCTCTGTGGTCTATTCACTAAGCCGAGTGACTAACCGAAACGAAGTGAGCCGAACAGCGTTCGGCTATTCACTTCAGGCTGGTGATTCTAGCCATATATCGGCTGAAATCAGCCTTACATCAGGTGGCTTCGACTGGCTTCGGGTCGGCCGAACATGCTCAGCATGTTCGGCCAACCCGAAGTGCAGAAGGAGTTCGACTCAGCCGATCTAACATCTGTATCGGCTAAGCCGAACCTCCGGCAGGCTACTCGCTACTGTTCGGCCTATTCTCATAGATGCCGAACAGCAGTGAGTGAATAGCCGAATGCCGCCGAGCAGCATTCGGGTCGGCTGTTCTGCTCGGTACCTCTAGGGTACCGAGCAGAATAGAAAAACAGTTTAAAAAGTAGTAAAAAATTAAATAGAAAACGATTGTGCAGAGCTAGCAGTGACAGCTAGCTACCCCCAACTGTTTTCTATTGGCCGGCGGTTCTGCTGCCGTCAGAATAAAAAAAAATCACTATAGGAATGCATAGCTTGATTCCTATTGGCTATTTCACTTTGCAATATACAATAGCAAACTAGCTGTTGCACCCACCCTCTGCTGCTCTAAATCACTAGAGTAGACCTGATGGAGATTTTCAGGTCCCCTCTGCTGATTGACAGCAGCAGTGGGTGGGTGCAATAGCTAGTTTGCTATTGGCTATTGCAAATTTAAATAGCGAATAGGAATCTAGCTATGCATTCCTATGGTGATTCTTTTTTTAAAAAATTCTGACGGCAGCCAATGGCTCCGATGTCAGAAAAAAAAAAACAGAGCAGGGAATGGTTTACTCTGCTCGATTGAGTAAACCTTTCCGGGAGAGAGTGTTTCTCTCCTGGGCGGCCGGGAGCCGCTATCTAATAGCGGGAGACACCCGGAGTGCCCGGGAGAGTTGGGCTGTCTGGAGATCAGTGTCCCTGGTTACCGTGAATGATGGCTGGCTCCGCCCAGCAGTCAGTAGCAGGCTGTCGGCCAGCTTCGGCTTTCACCTCGGCTCAGTCGAGCCGAAGCATATACCTTCGGCTCTACTGAGCCGCTCGGCCGACTTTGGGAGCTGTATGGGCTATAGTAAATAGCCCGTACAGCAGCCCTTCGGTTCTACAGAACCGAAGGGGTCCTGGGGCCGAAGCTAGCCGAAGGATCAGCCGAAACTACGGCTCGATCCTTTGGCCGCTCAGTGAATAGACCCCTCTGTCGTGATTGCTTATTGAGTGTACCCTTCTTGCCCCATTAAATAGTCCTTCAAGGATTTATCAATATTGGGACTAATATTTAGAAACTAGAGGGAAACTAAACTAAATGAGTAAGAAACATCCTTGATGTTATTATTTTTTGTATAACACATCTAGTTGCATTTCTTTTGGTATTTCTCAAGCATTCCCCTTCTATATATCTAGACCTAAGGATGCAAAGAGCAGGTATTTAAATGAAAACTATTATTATTTTATTATTATTTATGACTTATTTTTTACAGGTTTTAGGTCAG